ATTTCTTTTATTTATTAATTAAATCGATTTGCACCCCATCTTGTTTCGAAGGGACTGTGGGGGGGGGGGGGGGCAATTTTTTTGATCATCTGCTGGGAATCTAACTCTGTCAAGAGTCAGAAGAGAAGTCCAGCAAATGCCACAGAGAGGAAGGGGGTCAAGCTATTTTCCAAGGCACCTGAAGGCCAGACAAGGAATAATGGATGGAAACTGACCAAGGAGAGATTCAACTTGGAAATGAGGAGGAAGTTTCTGACAGTGAGAACTATCAACCCATGGAACAGAAGTTGCCTTTGGAAGTGGTGGGAGCTTCACCACTTGAGACTTTCAAGAAAAGATTGGACTGCCATTTGTCAGAAATGGTGTAGGGTCTCCTGCTTGAGCGGGGGGGTTGGACTAGAAGACCTACAAGGTCCCTTCCAACTCTGTTAATCTGAACATCTGAACATTATCCTCTCTTGCTGACACTTTTATTTGTCCGAAGGGTGAGAGAAAAAACATGGACGTCTCCAAACGTGAACTTAATTCTCACTAACAGAGAAGATGTTACATCTTTTTTATCCTGCTCTACGGAGTGAAGAGTTGGTCTCTGACAGAAAGCCACTTGAAGAGACTACAAGCATTTGAAATGTGGATTTACAGCTGTTATGTATAAGATGGGTTGACAAAATCAGAAATGTGGAGGTGATAAGCCGCCTGGGAAATCCAAGGGAAATTGTCAAAACCATAAAAAAGTAAAAGTTAGAATATTTTGGACATGTGATGCGACACCTGGAAAAATACGGCATCCTTCACTTAATCCTCCAGGGAAAGATTGAAGGCAAACGAGGTCCAGGCAGAAGAAGAAGATCATGACTTCAAAATCTAAGGGACTGGTTTGGACAAAACTCAGCAGCACTTTTTTGTGCGGCTGTTGATAAACATAGGATCGCCAATGTCCGATGATGAATATGGCTCAAGAAGAAGAACAGAGAAGAATTGGTAGAAGAATTGAAGGTAATGTATTTTTCAGAGTATAAGACACACTTTTTCCCCCCATAAAAGAGGATGAAAATTTGGGTGCGTCTTATACACCGAATGTAGCCCCGCCCACCCACCGGGCACGCGGAGGCGGGAATAGGTTATGGCAATCCCTGCAGCCTGAAACAGCTGATCTTCGGGAGGCCGATCCAACCGACAATCAGCTGCTTGTGCTAATCAGTCTGTGCTGAAGCTGAAATTGAAACGGGCTGTTTGCTGCAAGGAGGTAAATTGCTGGGAGGCAGAGGCAGATTTTTTTTTTCTTGTTTCCCTTCCCCAAAAAAGGTAGGTGCGTTTTATAGTCCGGAGCGTCTTATAGTCCGAAAAATACGGTATTTGATCTTTTGGAAGAAGGTGAAGATGCTTGGAACATCTGTGATATCTGGAAGAGGAGGAACCGAGAGGAGACAGAGGTCTATTCTGGTCTTCAGAAGAACAGGTCTTGATGAACTGTGAGGGAAGGTGGTTGAGATTCAGTGGCTTAAAATGCTGAAGGAAACAAGGACCTAGGAAGGATATGAAATTCTATGAAATGAGATACTGAAAGCACAATTGCAATTAATACCTACAAAAAGGGGTGTGGGAAATGTGACAATTCAAAAGAGGTCCATGGGGATATATATGCAGAACTATCTTAATGCTGAAGAGAAAAGAAAGGAAGAAGCTTAAAACAAAGGAGAAGAGTAGATAAGTCTCCAGAAATGAGAGAAAACCTGTCAGGAGAGCTGAAACTCAGAATAAGTCGAAGACTTGTGAAAGATACCAAAAATAGCTACCTCCACCCCCAGGATAAAAGATTCTTTGTGTAGATGAGGAATAAGAGACAAGTCAAAGAAAGTACAGATCCATCGGAAGAAAAAGTGGGCAGAACGAAAAGGCAGATCTTCTTAATTCCGATTTTGCATCTGTCTTCCCTCAGAAGAGAAATGGAAGGCTGGAAGATCATGGTTTTATCCCTCTGGGGAAAAAGGGAAGCTTAAATTAGACAAAGAGAGGACAAGAGAGATCTTATTCAAGGACTACATCCCAGGTTATTGAAGCATCTGGTGAATGGAACCACCATAAGATCATTTTTGGTAGTCTTTGAGAACTTCTAGGAGGCCAATTATCATCTCACCTTCAAAAAGGAAGAGAAATTAGGGACTTTTCAGCTTGATCTATATACCGGGCAACATCTTTGAAGAGATGACCTAACTGCATCTTTATGAACATCTGGATAGGCAACCAACCTAGCAGGGGTGAAATCCAGCAGGTTCTGAAGAACCGGTAGCGGAAATTTTGAGCAGTTCAGAGAACCAGCAAATACCACCTCTGGCTGGCCCTAGAGTGGGGTGGGGATGGAGATTTTGCAATATCCTTCCCCCAGAAGTGGGGAAGGAATGGGGATTTTGCAGTATCCTTCCACTGGAGTGGGATGGGAATGGAGATTTTGCAGTATCTTTCTCCTGCCATGCCCACCAAGCCACACCCACCAAGCCACACCATGCCCACAGAACCAGTAGTAAAAAAAAGTTGGATTTCACCACTGCAACCTAGGATTTGTGACAATCAAACCATGACAAACTAACCTCATCTTCATTGGTAAGAGTTATCAGCGTAGTAAGTAAGGGACATGCTATGAACACCGCATCTCAAAGGTGCTTTTTCCAAAAGGCAACTGGACTTTCTTGTTGCTTTTTTCTCTTTGAAAATGTTTCGTTTTTGCCTAGTTTAATTAAATTGTGAATTGTCTAGTTTAATGAAAAGAAGGGGTGATATGACAGCAGTGTTCCAATATCCAAGGAGTTACCACAAAGAAGAGAACCTATTAGGCATAAGTGGCTAAGACCCTGAGCTTGTCGATCGAAAGGTCGGCAGTTCAGCGGTTCGAATCCCTAGTGCTGCGAAATGGGGTGAGCTCCCGTTACTTGTCCCAGCTTCTGCCAACCTAGCAGTTCGAAAGCAGGTAAAAAATGCAAGTAGAAAAATAGGGACCACCTTTGGTGGGAAGGTAATAGTGTCCCATGCGCCTTTGGCTTTTAGTCATGCCGGCCACATGACCACGGAGCACTGGCTCCTCAACTTTGAAACAGAGATAAGCACCGCCCCCTAGAGTCGGGAACGACTAGCACATATGTGCGAGGGGAACCTTTACCTTTACCTTAATTCTCCAAAGCATCTGAAGACAGGACAAAAAGCAATGGATGGAAACTACTCAAGGAGAGAACCAACCTGCTAGAACTAAGGAGAAATTTTCTAACAATTAGAACAATTAATCAGTGGAACAACTTGCCTCCAGAAGTTGTGGGTGCTCCATCACTGGAGGCTCTTAAGAAGAGACTGGACAGCCATTTGTCTGAAATAATATAGGGTTTTCTGCTTGAGCAGAGGGTTGGACTAGAAGACCTCCAAAGTCCCTTCTAACTCTGTTAATTCTTTCAGTTCTGAACTGAAGAAGCTTTTTAAATGAGAAGTGGAAACATTTTCAAAGAGAGAGGAAAATAAAAACCCAAGAAACTCTAAACGCCTTTTGAGGCAACCATGACCTGGATGATTTGAGAAATTCTATTGACCTTTATAAACACTGCAATCTTTGACAAGAGTGTCTCAGGATATTCTTCATGAAACGGTAAACTATGGGTTAGCTGATACTGCTAGATCAGCTCCTAAGTCGGCTGAGTGACTGCATTCAAAGTGTCCTGGTTAATGACTCCATCTCAGCTTGGATTGAGTCAATTGACACAAAGTGAAACTGTACTCTGGGCCTTATGTGATTCAACAGTTTTATCCACAATTTTAATGATGGCATTAAGGGGAGCCTTATCAGGTCTTCAGGTGACACCAAACAAAAAGGGGTGGCTACTATTTTAGACGGAAGAGAGAAAATGTAAAAAGATCTAGGTTAGAGCCGTGGACTGAAAAAAAATGGAATTTTGCAAGGAGAAATGTGACTTATGCTTTAAATGTCACACTTAAAATGTTTGCAAGCGTCTCCATGGTCACGTGATCAAAAAATTCAGATCTTGGCAACTGACTCATATTTATGACGGTTGCAGTGTTCTCAGGTCACATGATCCCCTTTTGTGACCTTTGGACAAGTGAAGTCATGGGGAAAGCCAGATTCCCACTTAACAACCGTGTTACTAATTGAACAACCGCAGCGGTTCACTTAACATCTGTAGCAAGAAACTTCGTCCAACGGGGAAAAAAAATTAAAATTTAACAACTGTCTCACTTAGCAACGGAAACTGTGGGCTCAATTGCGGTTGTAAATTGAGGACTACCTGCATTTATAAATGCATTCTTTGCATTTATAATGCAAAACACAGACACACAATTCTTCGCGGTCAAAATTCCTTAGCACAAACGGACAACTGAGAGATAATAGCACACTTGGAACATCTGAAGAATTGCCACATTGAAAAGAGATGGACTTATTTCTCTATTGCCCCAGAATCAGGAACGACAGGTCAAAAACTAAACAGAAAGAAGTTCAACCAGACAGCAGTTTAAGAATATCCTCACAATATGACCTTGCAGCCAGGAGATATATGAGCTCTCCTTGGCCTTCAAACCATCTTTGTATGGTTCTCTTGTCGAAGATGGTCAATGGAATCCTGCCTTCAGCTAGGATGGATAATGTCTGCTTGATTATAGACAATAAATCAGATATACCGTGTTTCCCCGAAAATAAGACCGGGTCTTATATTATTTTTTGCTCCAAAAGACGCATTATGGTTTATTTTCTGGTTAGGTCTTATTTTGGGGGAAATACGGTACTAAATGCACCCATCTGGATGACAATCTTAACTGGGGTTATTTTGGGGGTAGGGCTTATATTATGAACATCCTGAAAAATCATTCTAGGATTTTTTTTTCCGGTTAAGTCTTATTTTCGGGGAAACAGGGTAAATGCAGATAAACAACATGAAATAGTCATTTGTGTGTCTAGAAAGAGATGGGATGGGGGAGACAGCTCATTGCTGAAGGAAATCTCTTACCTGAAACAGTTGAGGAATCGTACGAGTTCCTGTCCTTCCTACTTGCTCTGAACGTCTGAAAGTCCTTCTCCCTGTAGGTCCCAAATCCGTCAAAGCTCCTTCTCTTTCCTCCGCTGGAGTCCCCATCTCGCTTGTCACTGGCAGAATTCATCTCGCCAAAGACATCCATCACATCGGCTCTCGTACTGCTCTCCGTGTTCCCGGCGTACTTCTTCAGGCAGGGGTCATCGCTGCTTGAGCTGTTCTTATCCTTGACCCACTGCTGAGTGTCGGAGAGCGACAACGTAGAGAGGGTGTCCACCTCGAAGCTACTCTTGGACCCCTTGTGTCCAGCTTCGCAGTGCTGGTGCTTCTGTTTGTCCTTGTGTTTGCCTTTCTCGGTCAACAAGGAGAGGTCCTTCTCAGAGACATTTAATCTCTCCCCCACCGAATGGCTGGAGAAGCCGGGAGACTTGCTTGCAAAGAGGCTGCTGAGGTCGTCGTGAGCCCCCAATATCCGCTCCTCCTTGTGCTTGTGCTTATGTTTGTGTTTCCTTTTGTGAAGTCGGCCACCGGATAAGGTGGTCCCCGACACCTTGGCGGAAGTCAACGAGGAATGGACATCTCCCAGGCCCATCCCTACGGGCGTCTGCAAGTGGACGCCGTGCTTGGCTTTATGCTTGGCAGTGTTGGGCATCTTCATGTGAGAACTTGGATGGAACTGGGGAGGGGGCACCGTAGGCCTCATGAAAGGAGACGCCGTGCCCAGGGTGTGAGACAAGTACAACGGGGCCGGGTACTGACTGTAGTAGCCCAGGTTCATCATAGGCATTGATGTGTAAGGCATTCCGTAGGGTGCATAGTAACTCCCGCTGGGAATAGGGTAACCAAACCCTTGTAAGAAAGGCACCTTCGTCATGGTGTCATTGGTTTTGGCAGGCCGACCGCGCTTTTTCTTAGACTTCATGTCGGAGGTCCTGCGAAGATACAGCAATGGGTCGTACTGGATATATGGCACAGGATAGTAGGGATCAAAATTGATCCTGAAAATGCTGGGGTACGGATTCTCGTGATAGAACGTGTAGCTTCGATGAGAAATTCTGAAGACTTGGAACTTACTGATCAGCTCCTCCAGGTCAGCCAGGAACTGGAGGTCATCTCTATTCTGTAAGTTTTTCCGCTTCCTCTTGTGCTTTGGCTTCTTCATGGACTCATGGGAGAGAAAATTGTCCACCATGAGATGCTTCGGCCTGTGGCTGTGCCTGTTCTTACTGCTGGTGTCTGACTGGACGGCTTCTGGGTTGTCCAGACTACAGAAATCGAAGGAGTATCTTCGGCGTGATTCTGAAGTCTTCTCGGCTTGATCTGCGGTGCTGTTGTTGTCCGTACCAATTCCGCTGTCGCTCGGGATGGTTTCTTCGCTGTGGGACTCGCTCAGAGGAGACAGCGTGATTTCCTTCAGAGAACCAATGTCACACAGGTGGGAAGGAGAATTGGCCATGAGCCTGGGTGGGGACAACTTCCAAGTCCCACTGTGGATTCCTTTCGGAGTTTTGGTGGGGAGCGCGCTGATGGGTTGTAGATTTGGCATCGTCTTTAACTCTGAAAAATTGGTGTCGGTCCTGGCAGGGCTAAGGTTGTCGTGAGAGCCCGCTAGCTGCATGGACAGCGGGTGAACCGTTGCTGGTGAGGAGGTCACGAGAGACTGCAAGGTTGAAGGCACGGCTGGGTGATCGGGCTGGCTAGATACAGGCCTCAAATGTTTGACGACCGCCTTAGGGTCTTCCTGTGGAGACTGCAACTCAGATCTTGGCTTCCTTCCCCTCTTCTTGCCTATGTAGATCGTCCCTCGTTTGCTCACATTGATTTGCTTTCCTAACCTTGCGTCGATCGTTGGAGCCCCCGAGGTGGCTGGTGGCTGGGTTTTGGCTTTCAAAGATATATTACTGGAACACGATAAGATCTGACTCAAGAGGTTCTTCCTCTTGAGAGTCTTCATTTTGTTGATCGTCTTGATGGTCTTCTTATCCAGGACGCCGAGTTTGCCCACCTTTTTGTGAAATTTCAACTCGCCAGCCGCGTGTTCTTCTCCTGAAGGCATCTGAGCCAGGGTCACCAAGTTTCGCCTCCTCTTTCTTTTTTTTGTACCTGGGAACTCTCGACTGATTGGGCTGACAGGGCTGGTGGACGTTCCCTCATGGATGGTCTCGACAGTGAGCAAAGGTTGTTTCTTGGGTCGGCCCCTCTTCTTCTTGATGGGGGTTATCACTGTCAGACTGTCTGTGTTGGTATAGAGAGGGCTAGATGGTGTTATGGGATAAGCGGACGGAGGCTCTATCATCAGCTTCTCAGATGGACCCAGAGAAGGTTCCCGGAACATGCTTTTAGGTTTGCTACAAGTCCACCTTCGTTTGGCTGAAAATTTGGGGTGCTGAATCTCTGAATGCTTGCTGAGGGCAGGGATATCATTTGTCACTGAAACGGATGTGACGGTTGTGGCCTTTCTGAGCCTGGTCGCATTGCTTGAGGGCGATTTATTGGTCATCTCGGTTTTTTCCATGGGTACCACGGATGGAGATTCAATTTCAGGAGCTTTCCCTGGCTTTGTGACCCGGGGATCTTTCTTACACAAGTCAGTTTGGTTGCTACTCCGGCTGGCTACATCACTGCTTACATGTTGCCCAGAAAATGGAGATTTCTCCGTCTTCTCGGGAGCAACTTTGGTTGACTGTCTTTTCTTCCTTTTGTGACCAGGTGGCTCCCCTATTGGACCTTTGATCGGGATAGTAATTCGCACGTGGCTCGAATCATTTTCAGAAAGATTGGCAGAGTTTGGGCTTTGTCGGGGAGATGGTGGCTTGGTTGCGCTGGGTTCCTTTTTGCCATCCATGTGGATGTTGGGTTGGGCTTCCAATGACTTCTGAGTGTTCTTCACCCATTCTAGGTCTGTATTTGGGGCGGTCTGGTTGATTAAGTCTTTCTTACTGGACTTTTTCTTGGAGCTGGTGCTGGTTTGATCAAGGGGGTCTGCTTGTCCCCCTCCGTCTTGACTCAAAAATCCACCGCAGTCAACCAGATTGTTAGACTGGGATGCTAATCCATGAGAGTTTGAACCCGGGGTTGCAGTGCAAGAGGGAAGGTCTTTGTTATTACCGCCGCTGGTCAGCTGAGCCCAGGCGCTGCTGGAATTTGCCTTCTTCACTTGGGATTTGCTGAACGACAGTCCAGCCTCTGACCCTGAGACCTTAGGGGGATTAGTGGCTTCTCGGTTTGACTCCGGAGCAACGAAGCAAGTTTGAGAAGTCGATCCAGACTCAGAAGTCAACGACCAGTCGAGATGATGTTGGTTGCTATTTCTTTGCTGGTGCCGTGATTTTAAGGTGTCACTGGTGAAATCCTGGGGTAGCTCTGGATCGTAGTGAACCACGGAATGTTTCTGCAGCCTGTCATAACCCTGGTAAGAAGGGAGACAAGAAAAGAGAAAGAAGATTAAGCCTTTCTATCCTCAAAATATCTATATCTATCTATGTATCTCTCTGTTGTGACCCAGGCCCAAGTAAGTAGTAGGAAAATCAGTCAGTGAAAAACAAACTTTATTCGAACAGCTGAGAATTACTTCATTCCCAGCGTCATTCAACTAAATTAAAGCAAATTCCTCCCAACACAAATTCCTCAGTCCTATCACAAACCTTGGTCCAATTAGGCAAATTGCCAAAGACCTTTCTTGGCAAATGTTCAGAAGTCACAGATACAAAAATAAATACAAGACGTAGACGAAGAAGAAGACGAAGCTACCAACGTTGTTTTCCGGCAAAGGCCAAACACCGTTGCTGGTCTGTTTTAAGCCTTATGGGAGGGGCCAATCATCTCTTGGCCCTACTCCCAAGTTGTCCTCTTTGCTTGAGCTGCTCTTGCCTTCTGGCAGCTCTTTTCATGTGTCCATTAGGAACAGGCTCCTCCTGTTCCTCTACCTCCTTCCTATCAGTCTCTGGAGGCTCTGGAGTCCACACCTCACTCCCCGATGGTCCTGGCCCCATCTCTGCTTCTGACGCAGAGCCCTCATCCAGGCCTTCCCCAGCCTCCAGGACTGGCCCATGTTCTTCCTCAGCCTCATTGCTGTCCAACTCTGCTGCCAGTTCCGCAGGCTGTTGGCGGACCACAACACTCTCTGTCTCTGTCTCTCTCTATCTACCGTATTTTTTGGATTATTAGAGGCACCGGAGTATAAGACACAGCAAGATTTCAAAGAGGAAAACAAGAAAAAAAAGTGTTTGGCCTCCGTGCATCTGGTTTTTGCCCTCCCCGCCCCCAGGAGCACTCTGCAGGCCTCCCAAAACCTCTGCGCATCGCATTTTTGCGAACAACAGGCCTGTTTTTGGAAAAAATGGGATGCACGGGGCAGGGTTTCAGGAGGCAAAAAATGGCTGTATTCGGTGTATAAGATGCACCAACATTTCCACCCTCTTTTGGGGGGGAGGGACAGTGCATCTTATACTCTGAAAAGTACAGTATCTATCTATCTATCTATCTATCTATCTATCTATCTATCTATCTATCTATCATCTATCTATCTATCTATATCTTTTTCTTTTCAGTGAATGCTATCACCACCCCAACAACAACAATTTGTTTACAATGATGCTGCTATTAGTAATTTCATTCATTTATTCATTTATTTGTTGTCCAATTGTTAAGCCGTGTCTAAGTCTTGTCCCAAAGGTGCAGTTGCCTTTGAAAAAAGTACCTTTAGGACAGCCATGACTTGGATGACTGAGAATCTACATAGACGCGTGTCCAAGTCTTCGCCACACCATGGCCCACAACACACCAGGCCCTCCTGACCTCCACTGTCTCATGGAATTTACCCAATAATGACACTATCTGACCCTCTCATCCTCTGCTGTCCCTTCTCCTTTTGCCTTCCATCTTTCTCAACATTGGGGTCCTTTCCAATGATTATTGATTTACATCCCGCCTTTATTATTTTCACAAATAACTCAAGATGGCGAACGTATTCAACACTCTCCCCTCCTCTTATTTTCCCCACAACTAGCAACTCTGTGAGGTGGGTTGGGCTGAGAGAGAATAACTGGCCTATGGTCACCCAGATGGCTTTCATGGCTAAGGCAGGACTAGAACTCGCAATCCTGAAACTCACAGAACTCAAATCAATCTATCATCTATCTATCTATCTATCTATCTATCTATCTATCTATCTATCTATCCATCCATCCATCCATCCATCCATCCATCCATCCATCCATACACACACACACACACACACACTTTAAGGAAATCAACCTGCTATACAAGAGGCTTTGAAAGTAAAAGAAATGGAAAACATGGACTGTAGGTTCATGTGAGGTGAAAAATATTATCTGTTTCTCTAGGGGTTAATAATTAAGCAATTCCAGAGGCACTGAGTACTTTCTCACCTCCCTTCCATGCTAAGGGTTCTGTTTTGGGAAGAAACAAACAGTAATTCCAGAATTTTCTTAACTATGCAAGTTTTTATTACATCCGTACAATGGTTAACTACTGGTGCAACTCCAAATCTTATTAACATATTTGCTGATCGAGAGAAAAGAAAATTGTAGTGTTCTGATTCTTTTTGTTTCATCTTAAGCTTTCAACTTCCATTCCTGCTAGCAGTTGTTTGAGTACTTTTGAGACCTTCTGTGAGGGAGATGGGAGGTTAAGAAGATAGGATATATATATATATAGATAGATAGATAGAGATAGAGATAGAGAGAGAGATAGAGATAGAGAGAGAGATGAGAGAGAGAGAGAGAGAGAGAGAGAGAGAGAGAGAGAGAGAGAGGTGATAGAAATGTCTAGATAGCAATAGCACTTAGACTCAATACCGCTTCACATGATAGATGATAGATAGATAGATGATAGAGAGATAAAAGATAGATGGATGGATGGATAGATACTCTAGATAAATATAGACAGACAGACAGACAGACAGACAAAATTTAATTTCTATCCATCTAATATAATACACAAGCCGCTAAAATAGCAAAATCAATAGCACTTAGAATGGTCACTAAATGAACTACTGAGGACTGCCTGTAGTGGATTTTGGTAGCACATTTTTAAGAATTGCAATAGCTTTAATGATGAATAGTAAATCAAAAGGTTAGATTTCCTTAGCGGCAATTCCTATTTGTTTCCTCAAAAGGACACAAAGACATCAGTAAAAATTAAAGCTGATAATCTAAATAATCATCTTGGTCTTTCCATGAATCCCTTGCTTTAAATATTTTGGTTTTTTTTTTTTTGTCCTGCTAGTTGAATTTGAGGGAAGGAAGAAAGTGTTAATGGAAGAGATGGCTATAAAAACAAACAAGGTTAAAAAACGTGCCAGATAATTCCTCAGTCAAGACAGTTTAGCTTTTTTTTTTTGGTTTGGTTTGGTTTGAAAAAGGCAACTTTACGAAGTTATTTTTTTTTTAAAAAAAATACTGTGTTTCCCCGAAAATAAGACCCTGTCTTATATTTTTTTGAACCCTGAAATAAACCCTTGGCCTTATTGCCATGGGCTCAAAAGCCCGATTGGGCTTATTATCAGGGGATGTCTTATTTTGGGGGTATATAGAAAGAAGCAGAAAAGGGGGAAAAAATAAGAGGGATATTGTGATGGGCAGCTTAACAAATTGATTCAACATACAACTGAATGGAAGGTATCTGTTTTAGGAATCATAGGATGGAAGGGCTGGAAGGGTTTATTTTATTTATTGGTCAACTTTATTGGCCGTCCATTTTACCTCAAGATAACTCTGAGGTACCCGCAGGCCCTGAGATCAAGAGCGGAAGCTAAAAAGCATAAAAACCTGATTTTGTGCAAAGGTTTTTGCTTTTTCGTGTTTTAAATGGGAAATCGGATTCTAACTTGTACGTGACACCCCCCCACCCCGGAATAAATCCAAAACCCCCCCCCCTTTTTTTTAAGGAAAGGCACGGCTCAGGTTGTTGGCTGAAAAGCTTTTTCAGCAATCTGGGATAAACACTTCAGAAATACACACACACACACACACACACACACACACACACACACACACACACACTTTGAAGTATGAAGCCCTGCATCTGCAGAAACAATTCTTGGAGTGGAATTCCCTATTAAGAAGCTTTATCTGGCCAGATAAGCAGCTGGCCTTCCATGTTGTTAATTGCCCTCTGCTGTGATTTTAAACCGACTGCAGCAGCACTGTGTCTGTCACCTTCTTAGTCTAATCATCCTGAATCTCAGAAGAAGGGGAGGAGGAAAACCATAAAATAATAAAATAAAATAAAATAAAGGGAAGGGAAGGGAAGGGAAGGGAAGGGAAGGGAAAGAAGATAAAAGAAGAGGAGAGGAGAGGGAAGGGAAGAGGAAAGAAGAGGAAAGGAAAGGAAGATAAAAGAAGGGGAAAGGGTCAGGAAAGGAAAAGAAAGAAGATAAAAG